GTGACTGAGGTGGTATACACTTCACCATGTGCGACGCCGTGTGGATGGTCGCAGCATTGGTAGAGTGCACGTACGCCTGAGCCTGTGCTTGCACCCAGGCTTGTGAGGAAGCCTCCTAGTTGCGAGGAGATGGAGGAGCCGGCCGAAGGTGTGCAAGCCTTCCTTTAGTTTCTTCCTGCTTTAAACACAACTGTACTTCTCTTAGTTCTGATATTTTGTACCAATTAATAAACATATGTTCGATTGTGGGATTATGTGAGTCTAATCATATGAGTGAGGCAGTAATAGTGGATCGCTTGAGGCGATGTGGAGGGAAAAGTGGGTGCGGCTTTCGAAATTAGGTGAAGTAACTTAAAATCTTGTGTTCCACTGGAGGGCCATGCTTTTCGATAAGCACCACTGAGAAGTTTGTTCAGCTTTCTTGCATGAAATTATTTGCAAATCGCCAATTAGTCCTTTTGTGCCAAATCTGAACCTGATTTAGATGACAAACTCACTACAGCCCACGTAATGATGGCATTGTCTCACAATCAGCATACACACTTTAGTCTGATTATCATGTATTTATTCAACCCTTCTTGACTCTTTGGTGTCCCATTCAGAGAAGTGCTGCCTGATTGCATCAGAAGCTAGGCATGAAGTAGGGGGATAGTTAATTTCTTTTTACAGCCATATCGATAGCCAAACCCCACCATTTTACCCTTTACCAGTGCATTGTTTAGATATCACACCTTAATCAGATCATTGAAACTAAATGTGAAATAGGACAACATTTTAGGTTGGTTTAATTCCTCTTCAGCAACCACAACAATCAATGATGAAGCACTCAATCCCAACGTTGGATGTCGTTTTGCAGGGCGATTCACCCACTGCACCGTTTTTGTCTTGGCAAGTTCTGTAAGCTTGCAATCCTCTATCCTCGAAATGCATGTCGGGTTATTTGTCTACTTTTGCAGATCTCTTGACCACTTCCAAGTCACTTGTAAAGACCTGAATTATGCATTCTGTAACATCAGAATTACCGTCTCGTCTAAATCGGAACACAACCGCTACTTTGGTCGTCTAGTACGCATGGGAATCTATCTCACACAAGTAAATCAAATACAACTATTTAGAAATGCATTCGCACTTTATTAGTTTCCAGTGTATTTCTATGTGCTGAATGGGAATTCAGCTGTCCACTATTGTCAAATGCTGCTTGAAACGCAGTGCCGAGTTGACCAATTTCACGGTTTAATCCACAGATGCGAAATCAGTGCATTGCCTACTCGCCTCAATATTAACGAGCAACAGGGTGGAATGATACTGAATACTGACGAAACCCTATAAAATGAAGAAGGTATTTCATTTCGTCTACTGATGTGCCCGTCTAATGAAATCGCCACTAAGAAGTATTGCGCATTCTTGAGAGTACAGCACCCTCGTGTTATGCACCGATTTTGGCACTGCCAATAAGCACTGTTCTGCCTGTAACGTCTTGCAGAAAGTAGAGCCTGGAAGACCACTTAAGAGCCTGCAAGCGAAGCTTGTAATGATGATTCTAATAAATGTTAACGTCAACGCTATTAATAGCACTGTTTACCGTTTGTCTCATTTCAGAGCTAAAGTACGATGATTTTGCTTACTAAGCTATTCACACCAAGTCGGTTGCCTCCGATGCTTCCACGCAAAATGCTATTCGCTGTTTCTGAGACTATTTGCTCAAACCTAGCAAGTTAGTGACAGAGGACTTCTATTTGCCTCCACGCAGCCTCGATAGTATTAAAATCTATGCAAATGCAATTCATTAATATCTTCTTTAGTTGTTAAAGACACAGCAAGGCACAATAAAATTCAGATGCGTGTACACTATCCGATGGCTTCCTAACCCTAATGGAACTTGAAGGGTTCTTTATGACCTTCGAGGCAGGTATAACCGCATTCTCGGGTTCATTCTGCAAAACACAAATTAAGACACAATGAGTATTCAGCCATAGCCCCTTTTTTCAATGCATGCGAATACGAACACAGTGTTACAGGTTTTGAGGTGAGTATTACCTCAGTCGTGAATTCCATCGTAAAATCAGGTGGGTATGTACACACGTGCATGTGTTATCAGGTGAGGGCAAACTCAGTCGTGGCTTCCGCCTGCAGCACATGCAAGTATGGCTGCTCCATAGGTTGCAGTTGTCTGCCCATTTGCTTCGCTTGACAATGACCTATGTGTCGAGTGTTCCACTCATTTATTCTCATCGTCCCTGGTGTTTTCACATGACCTTCGTGGTCTATATACCCTTGCCCATACATCCACTCTTGGCTCCCTCCATCACCACTCGTGTCATTTATCATCCCTACCCATAAGTTATTGCACATATTTAGCCCGTCTTGCTTTCGTGACACCGGAAGGAGTGTAAACACAGAGAAATAGCCTTTTTTGACATTTGCCAATAATACCTACCATGCCACAAATAAACAATTGACCTAGAAGGAGTCATCTGAATTGCGACCTCTCAGAGAGTGCAAGAGGTTTTCTAATGTGATTTGCACTCCGTTGGCTCTATTTACTGACCAGCAGAACGTGGAGGTAATTTCCATTTCCAGAACTATCCGGTTGGGGTTGCTGCAGCTATCGTCTATGCTTACACAGCTGAACATTACTTCTAAACACCTCCACCCGTTATTACCTACCACTGCTACTACTACTACTACTACCATGCCATGCTACGACTTCGTCAATGAATCGGAACACTTAGAATATGCGGAAGGCTTTGGCACAAACTACCTTTTCCTAGTATCGAAATCTGCATGATACTTCGCCTTCCGTCATTTAGCCTTT